GAGCTGGGGGTGGTAATGGCCGAGGACTCTGGCGTGGGCTGGCCTGAGTTCCGGTACAGAGCGACTGAAAGAATGACACCATTTGGGGTGGAGAGGACGATGGTTTGGCAGCTGTGGGGCCGCTCACCGGTGGCCGCTGAAGCAAACCTGCTTCACTACCTTCACAACACTTTTCCTTAGTATCTGCAGCTCCATCTCGCTAGTGGGACACCGTTTGGGCGGCGTGATGTGAGTTGAAGTCCACACATTCTGCTAAGAGTTGGTGAACGCCTCAGATATGTTGGTGGGTGGGAAATCTCTCCCTACTTGTGGGTGTATTTAGATAGACTGGGCGCGTCAAGCCAACCCGACTTGGGCCCTCCAGGTGTTTTGGACTTCAACTCCCACCTTCCTAACAGCCTCAGGCCTTCCTCCCCCCCCCCCCCCCGGCTGTTTAAGCTTAAGTGGATGAGGGGAAAAGGAGTCATGGCCGTTCGGGGGAGGGGGGCATTTATTTAATTATTTATTTATTTTCAATGTATTATAACTATTGTGTGCTACTATTATTAACTAGCATGTACTATTATGTAATATTAATATTTACCACTACATACTACTACGCCCTACCACCACTACGCACTACTGCTCCTCCTAGCAATATATGTAGTACTACTGCTACTACATACTACTATGCAGTACTAGTATAGCTACTACATACTACTAAGTACTACTACATCATGCTATTATGTACTATTAATATTAACTACTATGTGCTATTTATTTATTTATTTATTTAAAACACTTCTACCCCACCCTTCTTAACCTCCGTGGAGGGACTCAGAACATACTCTTAATATTAACTACTACGTACTACTATATACAACATTATCTACCTACTTCTACTCCATACTACTCCTACTCCTACTCCAATATTTTATTTATTTATTGTATCAGGAGGAAACCAAACGGTTGTATTGCAATTTTTTAACAGAAAAACAACCACGCCTCCTGCTACTACTCCAAAGTACTACTACTACTATGTAATACTATTAAATCAATCAGTTTGACTGAATGCTTAGACCGCAGGTGTTGTACTTCCAGAACCAATAGGTACCGAGAGAACCAATCATAAAATACCAAACCAGGACGCCTTAAAGCAGCGTTTCTCAACCTGAGGGTCGGGACCTCTAAGGGGGTCACGAGGGGGTATCAAAGGGGCCGCCAAAGACCATCAGAAAAACACAGTATTTTCTGTTGGTTATGGGGTTCTGTGTGGGAGGTTTGGCCCAATTCTATAGTTGGTGGGGTTCAGAATACTCTTTGATTGTAGGTGAACTATAAATCCCAGCAAATACAACTCCCAAGGTCCATTTCCCCCAAACTCCACCAGTGTCCACATTTGGGCATATTGAGTATCCGTGCCAAGTTTGGTCCAGATCCATCCTAGCTTGACTCTCTGGATGTAGGTGAGCTACAACTCCCAAACTCAAGGTCAGTGCCCACCAAACTCTTCCAGTATTTTCTCTTGCTAAGTTTGGTTCAATTCCATCACTGGTGAGTTCAGAATGCTCTTTGATTGTAGGTGAACTATAAATCTCAGCAACTACAACTCCCAAACAACAAAATCAATCCCCTCATAACCCCACCAGTATTCAAATGTGGGCATATCGGGTATTTGTGCCAAATTTGGTCCAGTGAATTAAAATACATCCTGCATATCAGATATTTACATTACGATTTTTAACAGTAGAAAATTACAGTTATGAAAGTAGTAACAAAAATAATGTTATGGTTGGGGGTCACCACAACTTTTATTTAATTATTGATTTACTTTATTTAAATACCGCTTTTCTCAGCCCTCAGGCGACTCAAAGTGGTGAACAACATCGATACAAAACAACACAAGACAAGTATAGGGCAATTAAAAACAATTGTAACATAAATCATTAAACATCAGTATAACAATCATTGGCGCCTCAACAGTAAAATCAAAATCCAGTCTCATCATCCATTATTCCGTATTCCTATGTTCAATTACACTGCCTAATCAAATGCCAGGTCTTCACTTTCCTCCGGAACGCCAGCAGGGAGGAGGGGCCCGATCTGATATCTGCAGGCAGGGCGTTCCACAGCCGAGGGGCCACCACTGAGAAGGCCCTGTCTCTCGTCCCCGCCAAGCGCGCCTGTGATGCAGGCGGGACCGAGAGCAGGGCCTCCCCAGATGATCTTAGTGTCCTAGTCGGTTCATAGGAGGAGATGCGTTCGGAGAGGGAAGCATGCCCCCCTATAAGGAGCGGTATATAGGGGTCGCGGCATGAGGAAGGTTGAGAACCACTGCCTTCAAGAGAGGACAGGAACCCGCTCTTGTCCATTAGAACCCCCGGAGAGGGAGGGGGGGAGAGATCTATGCGGCTGTGGTGAGCCTCCCTCCCTCCCCACAGGGCTACCCCATCAGGCAGGCGGGCGGGCGGGCGGGGGGGAAGGAAGGAAGGAAGACCCCCTTGGTGGGGCTCCTGGGTCCGGCCTTACCTCTCGGGGGAGTGAGGATCCTGGGGCTCGCTCAACGCCACTGAAGGCTCGGGCAAGGGAACTCGGAGTATCCCCAGCGAGCCACAAGGGCCAAGGGCCAGCCCCCCGGGACACCGTCCACTGCCTGACTCGGGATTCCAACCGGGGCTGGCCCTGCTTAGCCCCCCAGCTCAGACCCAACTTCTTTTTGCGTGCAGAGACAGAGAGGGAGAGGGAGAGGGGGGGAGACCTTATGTGGCTGTGGTGAGCCTCCCTGCCTCCCTCCCCACAGGGCTACCCCATCAGGCAGGCAGGCGGGCGGGCGGGCGGGGAAGGAAGGAAGGAAGACCCCCTTGGTGGGGCTCCTGGGTCCGGCCTTACCTCTCGGGGGAGTGAGGATCCTGGGGCTCGCCGAAGGGGAGGAGAAGGAGGAGGAGGAGGAGGCTGCCGGCAGGGAAGGCAGCCACAGCCCCGCCAAGAAGCAGCAGCAGGCCAGCAGCCCGGCAGACCTCCGCGTCCACGCGCCAGCCATGGCCACTCTCGCCTCGGCCGAACTCACGCCGCCGCTTCATGCTCGCTCGCTCGCAGGGGAGAAGAAGAAATGGGGGCGGCGCCGGCCAATGGGGAGCGAGCGAGGGGCGTGGCCCGGAAACAGGCGCCCTCAGCGGCAGCAGCAGCCGCCTCCGCATGACCAGGTGAGTGAGGAAGACCCTTCCCGCAGGTGCTTTGGGCCTCAGCGCCCACCCTTCCTCGCACCCTCCTCGGGCCCCTTCCTGGGTGGGGGGAGTTGGAGTCCGAAGCACCGCCCGGAGGAGGACTTGGAGCCTTGGAGGGAGGGAGGGAGGGGTCTCCCATGCCCTCCCAGAATCCCCGGGCATCCCAAGAGGGTCCCGGGCTCTGTCCTCCCGGGTGTCTGGGGACTTCACCTCCCAGAATCCCCCAGTCCAAGGCCACGGAGATTCCTGGTAGTGGAAGCCTCAGGCGTGGCTCTCGTCTTGAGAGATATTGACTCTAAGCTGGAATGTGTCCAGAGGAAGATGGCGACTCAAATGATCAAGGGTCTGGGGAACAAGCCCTATGAGGAGCGGCTTAAGGAGCTGGGCATGTTTAGCCTGAAGAAGAGAAGGATGAGAGGAGGCATGATGAGAGCCATGTATAAGTATGTGAGAGGAAGCCACAGGGAGGAGGAGGAGGGAGCAAGCTTCCTTTCTGCTTCCTTGGAGACGAGGACGCAAGGGAGCAATGGCTTCAAACTACAAGAGAGGAGATTCCATCTGAACATGAGGAAGAACTTCCTGACTGTGAGAGCCGTTCAGCAGTGGAACTCTCTGCCCCGGAGTGTGGTGGAGGCTCCTTCTTTGGAAGCTTTTAAACAGAGGCTGGATGGCCATCTGTCAGGGGTGATTTGAATGCAATATTCCTGCTTCTTGGCAGAATGGGGTTGGACTGGATGATGGCCCAGGAGGGCTCTTCCAACTCTAGGATTCTATGATTCTATGATTCTATGCTCTCTGGACTTCATCTCCCAGAATCCCCGGGCATCCCAAGAGGGTCCCGGGCTCTCTTCTCCCGGGTGTCTGGGGACTTCACCTCCCAGAATCCCCCAGTCCAAGGCCACGGAGATTCCTGGTAGTGGAAGCCTCAGGCGTAGCTCTCGTCTGGTGTGCCTCCCAGTCGTGTGCTGGACTTCAGATCCCAGCATCCATCCCCCCCCCCACTCATTGGCCCACCCAGGAAGTATTCTGAGAGTCCAGCACACAGAGGTTAGGCCGCAGGGCCCTCAAGGTCAGGCCTTACGAAGCCATCCCTGGCCAATCTTGGGAGCTAAGCAGGGACAGCCTTGGTTGGTGCTTGGAGGGGAGACCGCCAACACTGTTTTCTCAGAGCAAGGAATTGGTCAAACCACATCTGGGGATTCCTTCCCTCAGAAAGTTCTCGGAAATTGTATTGTCGAAGGCTCTCATGGCCAGAATAACCGGATTGTTGTGAGTTTTCCAGGCTGTCTGGCCATGTTCCAGCAGCATTTTCTCCTGACGTTTCACCTGCACTCGTGGCAGGCCTCCTCAGAGGTTGTGAGGCCTGTGTGTGCTGGTCAGTGACTGTAATGATAAAACATCAAATCATCCGGGCGTCTCCTGGGCAATGTCCTTGCAGATGGCCAATTCTCTCACAACAGGAGCGACTTGCAGTTTCTCAGGTCGCTCCTGACACCACCAAAAAAAAAGTGACTGTAATAAAGTTTTGAATTGTATTGTATTGTGAGGTCTCTTGGGAACTAGGAAAATGGGGTCGGAGGTAGGTGTGTGGGTGTGAATCAAGGTGGCCAACTGCAACATTCACACTTGCCTCACACGGCAAGAGTTGTTTCTCCCACCCTGGACTTCATTCCACAGATATATAACCCCCCCTTGCCTCGTTTCCAGCAGACCTCTCAAGCTCTGAGGATGCCTGCCATAGATGTGGGCCAAACGTCAGGAGAGAATGCTTCCCGAACATGGCCATACAGCCCGGAAAACTCACAACAACTCTTGGAAATGCATGAGTATTGAAGAACTCTCCCCAAACCGAGGCTGGATCTACACTGCCCTAGATCCCAGGATATGATCCCAGATTATCTGATTTGAACTGGATTATATGAGTCTACACTGCTAGATAAGCTGGGATAAACAGATAATATGGAATCAGATCCTGGGATATCGGGCAGTGTAGATTCGGCTTGAGAAATCTCAGAATCTAAGCAAAAGATAGGGTAAAGGTAAAGGTAGTCCCCGACATTAAGTCCAGTCCTGTCTGACTCTGGGACTCTGGTGCTCATCTCCATTTCTAAGCCGAAGAGCCAGCGTTGTCCGTAGACACCTCCAAGGTCATGTGGCCATTGGCATGACTGCGTGGAGCGCCGTTACCTTCCCGCTGGAGCGGTACCTATTGATCTACTCACATTTGCATGTTTTCGAACTGCTAGGTTGGCAGAAGCTAGGGCTGACAGCGGAAGCTCACACCGCTCCCCGGAATCGAACCTGCGACCTTTCGATCAACAAGCTCAGCAGCTCAGTGCTTTAACCCACTGCGCTACCGGGGGCTCCACAGCAAAAGATACTATATATATATATAAGCAAAAGATACTATATATAATAGTATATAAACAACTAGCTTGGATATCCGGCATTGCCCGGGTTATTTGAAAAAAATCAGGTTTATAAGGTTGTGGGTGAACTACAACTCACATGAAGCCAGGTTAACCTTGGAAAACTCAATCAGTAGTTAACGTTTGTTATGTTGGGCAAGTTTGCCCTAGATGCAACATCGATGGGGTTCAATATGCACCCTGGCTGCAGGGTAAACTACAACTCCCACTATGATGAGTCAGTCCCCTGAAAACCCTCCCGTAGGTTGAGTTAGTCATGGGGGCTCTGTGTGTGCCCAGTTTGGCCCAGGGCCATCATTGGTGGAGGTCAGAGTTTCTCTGGTCGTGGGTGAACTACAACTCCCAGAAAAGAAAGTCAGTTCCCCCCAAACCCCTCCTGTAATCAAATTTCAGCATATCCTATCTGTGTGCCAAGTTTGGTCCAGATCCATCTGTGTTTGGGTTCACAGTGCTCTCTGGATGTAGGTGAACTACAACTCCCCCGAATCAAGGTGAATTCCCCCCAAAGACTTCCAGTATTTTTTGCTGATCATGGGGGCTGTTTGTGCCAAGTTCGTTCCAGGTCCATCGTTGGTGAAGTTCATAGTGCTCATTGATTGCAGGTGAGCTATACATCCCAGTACCTACAATCCCAAAATGTCCAGGCCAATTCCCCTCAAAACCCACCAGTACCCAAATGTGGGCATATTGGATATGCACGCCAAGTTTGGTCCAGATCCATCCTTGTTTGGATTCATAGTGCTCTCTGGATGTAGGTGAACTACAACTCCTCTAAATCCCTCCAAAGATCTCCAGTATTTTTTGTTGGTCATGGGGGTTCTGTGCACCAAGTTAGTTCCTTGGTCCATCATTGGTAGAGTTCAGAGTGCTCTTAGATTGAAAGTGAACTATACATCCCAGTACCTACAAATCATGGTGAATTCTCCCCAAAGCTCTCCAGTAGGTTCAGATGCAGATCTATTCTGCTCTGTTTGCTGTGTGCCATAGCAAAGAATAGGAAAGGGTTAATCAGGGAGAGGCAGTGGGCGGGGTCATGCAAATAGAGAGAAGTAAGAAACACTGGGATGTCTGTGGTGGAGGAAACACATAAATCTAGATGAAGTTGTCCCTGAATGAACGCCTTCACTGGGGTGGTGGGCAGTGTGGTGTTTGTGGAGGACATTGGCCGGGCTCTTGGACATGGTCGTGGTGCTCACTATAACCGGCAATGTCATTGGAGGGAAGGCCTTTGGTATCTCCTGAGTAGTGGGAGCTATAGCTATTCATGCAAGTGGCAGCCTCCCTGTGTCAGTGGACACCCCAGCCACACATACACATACATATTTTCACTTTTATTGTGTGTCTAGGCAAACTATTATTTGCTTAGTCCTACAAGGTTGTCTTTTTGAAGACGCATTGACCGCTTTCCCTGTGGTTTCAATCCACACAATGAGAAATTAGAATCTGTGCAGGTAGGCTCAGGTCCTTTCAGTCGTTGCTCCATCCGTGAGCTGGGGCTTATTGAGTGTCCAGGGGGTATATGGAGATACGAGCATCATTTCCAGGTGGGCATCTATAACAACAACAACAACAACAACAACACTACTATGTAACAAAATTTGAAAAATGTTTTGTTCCTCGATTGAAAGTGCTATTTCGTGTTTAATTGTGCAGAATCATAGAATCATAGAATAAAGAGTTGGAAGAGACCTCATGGGCCATCCAGCCCAACCCCATTCTGCCAAGAAGCAGGAATATTGCATTCAAATCACCCCTGACAGATGGCCATCCAGCCTCTGCTTAAAAGCTTCCAAAGAAGGAGCCTCCACCACACTCCGGGGCAGAGAGTTCCACTGCTGAACGGCTCTCACAGTCAGGAAGTTCTTCCTAATTCAGATGGAATCTCCTCTCTTGTAGTTTGAAGCCATTGTTCCGTGTCCTAGTCTCCAAGGAAGCAGAAAACAAGCTTGCTCCCTCCTCCTGTGGCTTCCTCTCACATATTTATACATGGCTATCATATCTCTTCTCAGCCTTCTCTTCTTCAGGCAAAACATGCCCAGTTCCCTAAGCTGCTCCTCATAGGGCTTGTTCTCCAGACCCTTGATCATTTTAGTTGCCCTCCTCTGGACACATTCCAGCTTGTCAATATCTCTCTTGAATTGTGGTGCCCAGAATTGGACACAATATTCCAGGTGTGGTCTAACCAAAGCGGAATAGAGGGGTAGCATTACTTCCTTAGATCTAGACACTATGCGTACTTTGAAAGCAGTTCTATTCAATATGGTAAGATCATTGGAACTGTAGTTTTGCAAAGTCTGGTGCCTCACCAAACTACAACTTCAGTGATGCCACAGCCAAGGAGGCTCAAGTGGGGTCCAGCGGCATTGGCTTTACAGTATAGCTGGACCCAAGAAAGGAGTCCGAGCGAGCCAGCCAAACGCCCCG